ACAAATTCATTGGAGGAAAACTCCAGGGCTTATTAAGTACAAAGATATTACCTCTGACTCAGGAAGTCCTTGGCCACAAATTGCTAGAGACTGGGAAAGTTTGCCAGGAAGGTATTACTCTGTGCTTCCCCTCTTCTTTCACTCCTCCTACAGCATTTACTGCGGATCTGTCCCGGGGGCAGGACACTGGACAGTTGTTCTGGTCTGCTTCTCCGGATCAGAATTCTAACCCAAATTCAGAGCACTAATGGGCAGGCTGACACACTCTTAAGCATTGCCCATGGTGGTCTCGTCTCAGCAGTGTGTTTCATGGAAAGCAGTGTTTGGGCTCATTCCCTCCTTTAGACTTGTCCTTGGACCTTCCTCACCCTGTGCTAGCAGTGCCCCAGACTCCTTCTGACTTATTAGAATACAACTCTTGGATGTGATGATGTCCTTCACCTCCCCCACCTTTCATTATTTTCTGTGTCCTGCTGGCAGGAACACTTGGCTTGCCCTCATAACATTCGTGTATTTCTTGGAGCTCTCAGAGATAGCATTTTTCCCAGCCTGGATGAGTTGCTGTTGTTTCTATAGGGTCAGCAGTACAATAGACCCTCTTGTGAGCCAAGACCTTGTCTGTCTAGTGGCTCAGGCTTACAGAGACTCAATCCTGCATGCTTAACGTTCCCTTTGATTTCCGGGATTAGTGTCTGACTGATGGCAGGTGAGAAGGCAGAACAGCGCAGCGCAAAAGGAAAGAAATCAATTAAGTTTACATTGCAACACGTACTCACTCAGGGCCAGGTTAGAGAAACAGGAATTGGGTAGAGGACGTTGTTGGCACTGGAAGCAGTGAGCAGGCAGCAGTCTGTCTGTCACAGAAGTGACAATGACAATGGAGAGGATCTTTCCTCTAATGCTTTTTTAATATATATACTATCCATGCTTAATATAATTCACAATATAGCAGTTAATATCTCTGCACTATGGTTTTCTTATTTTTAAAAGTTGGCTTAAAAGTTCTCAGTCTCTCTCAGCAGAGTAGGTAAAAACTGAGCTAAGGCATATTAATCACATTTTTATCAAGAGATGAAAGTGATAGAGATATAAAGTACTACCAGCTTTTAATTAAAATTGAATAAGTAAGAAACAGTTGGCAGTTGCAAAATTCATTATGATGTGTTACCAAAAATAGATACCTTTATGAGAATGCAGTTTTATTAGAAAAGTGGGCACTAATTAGCTGTAAACATCATTGCTGAGATAGCCAGATAGCAAATGTGTTACTAATACTCATAACAAGTTTCAGTTGGCTGGAATGGAAAACTAGAAACTCTTAAGGCTCTTAAAATGTAATCTCTCAGACTACCAAAATAGATGTAACTTCTGTTACTTAAGGCAACATCTGAATTTCAGGAACAATAACTTAGTGTTTTCTGCATTTGGTTTTAATTTGCAAGGAAAACTCAACTTTACAAAAATGTAACCTGACTTAGCTGAAACATGTACGACCCAGTGTTTTTATTTCTTCTTTCTATATAATAGTCAGACTTGCAATTTAGATCCTCCAAACTTTTATACATTTCATTTGATAAAAAATCCCTTTGACCTTAATAAAAACATCTTCCAATATGAGTTTACAGGAACAGATCTATGGTTTAGAGCACCTTACTGACCAGTTTGGGATGTATGTGTGTGTTGCATAATCTCTGCAAAATTTACTGTAATTGAAAAAAGTTATTTTCCTCTCTCCTCCTGTAATCTAGAACATCAAGCAATAACAACAAATCTGTGGGTGGTTTATCTGATTTATGCTAATTTGCAATTGACATATTTGAGGTATCACTTGCATCATCCCAGTCTTGCATATTTATTATTTAAAATATTAGCTGCTTATGAAAAGGAAATATTTTAAATAATTATTCATTTGTTCTGTGATAACCTCTTGCAACCAGGGCCCCACTCTGGTAGACTGTATACAAAATCATTGCAAATGAAGTGCAACCTGAAATGTTTAAGATAAGCTTGCGGCAAGAGGATGATTTGAATCCAGGAAGATTAATATATCCCACCTACAAGGAGTGGGTCTCAACTCATGGAATTTCAACCATTAAACATGAGGCATCTAAATCACCTCCAAAGCCAGTATGAGAAAGAGGTAAATCCAGCTTGTGATTTAGCTCACATAATTTAGAGACCTGAGGCCTTCAGGGTGGAGACTCAAGCACCAGTACTCAAGCTTGAGCTCATATTTTCAAACTTGGATGCTTCAACATAGTCTCCTAAATTCTTGTGTTGGTACCTAAGTAAGCGCACACAGAAGGGATGAGTGAAGTGGTGACTCCTTAGCAAAGTCAGAAGGTGCTGCACGAGGTGCACACTCTTCCAGAAGAGGCCACTTACATGCCTAACTTGGAGTGCTGAGCTTTAAAAGTAAAATCACAGGCACAAGCCCCACATTTTAAAACTTCACCCACCTTCCTTGGCATCTACATATTGATAAAAAAAATCATCCTGTGTAAACAACCACCTGTCCTAGATCTTGCTAGTACTGCTGCGTTCTAACTTCATTGACCGACATGATGCGCTGGTACACTGGAACTACGTGCCAAGTTCATGAGTTGAAACAGAGTACAACATAGAAAAATGTGAGTTTCTAGAT